TTCAGAACTGCATCACATTGCCACAAGGAACACTTACAAATAGAATTTTTTGCTACATTGAACAACAGCAATATTCTATTAGCAATAAAAGATGGATAATGAATAGGCATCCAGCAGCATTTGTCAAATTTTCATAAACATCTTTTTGTTGTATTTGCTGACCTTACCTTATTATTTTATTTCTTTATATGTTTATGTAGTTAATGTCCTCTTACTAAAAGGTGAGCTCTAGAAGATAAGAAGCCCTATCTCTCTTGTTTGTTTCTGCACCTCTAGAATCTAGAAAACTCTCTGGTACATAGTGTATGCTTGATAAATATTTTCATAGTAAAGGAATATTGGGTTAATTAAAGTTTAAATGACAACTTTGCCTTATGTATTCCAAACTTATTAAACAAATATTTTCTGTCTTAAATTGTCACAGAAAATGTCTTCACTATTTTCAGGTAATTGTATAATGATTATTTATTATTCTAAAGAATCATTGCATAGAATCAGGGATTGCAAATATTTAATCAGTCGTTACCTTTTTTGATTTCCAAGAATTCTAATACTTAAAGTTGAACATACTATTTTCCATAAAGCTAATTTCTCTACACACTTCTATTCCCTCTTTCAACCTCCTCCACAAACAACAGAAATGTAGGAAGCAACATATTTTCGAACAAATACCATATGCTAAAAACTCAGCGAGATATCACATATATAAATATTTTGAAGACTAAGAAAGTACCTAGTTTAATCAAGCTCTATAATGTTATGAATGAATGAAGGATTACTATTGTTGGCTTTATAAAGTCTCATAATTTAATTTCTAAATTATATTATTTTATAAATGGAAGTCTACTTTATTTAAATTAAGAGGACTAGACTACTTATTTTGATTCAGAGACTACATGTGCAGGTTTTTTACATTAATACATTGAGGAATGCTGAGGTTTGGGCTTCCCATGGATCCATTAACCAAATGGTAAACATATACCCAAAAAGTAGTTTTTCAACCCTTACCCCCTACTACTGTACCCCCTTTTGGGATTCCCAGTATCTATTATTTCAATCTCTATGCCTATGTGTACCCATTGTTTAGTTTTCACTTGTAAAGTGAGAACCTGCAATATTTCATTTTTTGTTTCTGACTTATTTCACTTAGCATGATGGTCTCAATCTCCATATATGTTGCTACAAAAGACAGAATTTCATTCATTTTTATGGCTGCATAGTATTCTATGGCATACATATACCACATTTGTTTTTCCAATCAACCACTAATAGACCCTTAGGTTGATTCCATGATTTTGCTATTGTGAATTGTGTTGTGATAAACATACAAGTGCAGGTGTCTCTTTGATGAAACAATTTCTTTTCCTTTGGATAGATTTTGAGTAGTGGGATTGCTGGGTTGAATGGTAGTTCTATATTTATTTCTCTGTGAAATCTCCAAACTGTTTTCTATAAAGGTTGGACTAATTTACATTCCCACCAACAGCGTATAAAGTCTTCCCTTTTCTCCACATCCTTGCCAATATCTGTTATTTTTTGACTTTTTAATAATAGTCAATCTGACTGGTCTGAAATAGAATCTCATTGTGATTTTAATCTGCATTTTTCTGATGATTAGTTATGTTGAGCACTGTTTAATATGTTTGCTGTCCTCTTGTGTGTCTTATTTTGAGAAGTGTCTGTTCATGTCCTTTGCCCACTTCTTAATTGGGTTATTTGTTTGGTTTTTGTTGTTTTGTTTAAGTCCCTTACAGATTCTGGATATTAGTCTTTGTCAGATGCACAGTTTGCATTTTTTTTCTCCCATTCTGTAGGTTGTCAGTTTACTCTGCTGACTATTTTTTTTTATGTGCTGAAGTTTAGTTTAATTAGGTCTCATTTGTCCATTTTTATTGTTGCATTTGCCTTTAACCTTAGTTATAAATTCTTTGCCTTGGCCAATATCTAGAAGAGTTCTTCTTAGATTTTCTTCTAGGAATTGCATAGTCTCAGGTCTTATATTTAAGTCTTCAGTCTATCTTGAGTTAATATTTGTATATGGTGAGAGGTAGGGGTCCACTTTTACTGCATATGGCTAGCCAGCTTTCTCAATGTCATTTATTGAATAGGGTATTCATTTCGCGTTGTTTATTTTTGTAAACTTTACAACAATCGGTTGGTTGTAGGTGTGTGGCTTTATGTATGAGTTCTCTATTCTGTTCCATTGATCTATGTGTCTTCTTTTGTACCAATACCATGCTGTTTTGGTTACTACAGCCTTGTCATATAGTTTGAAGTCAGGTAATGTGATGCCTCTGGCTTACTAAAGTTATTTGTCAGGTCAAGGAGTCTTTTGATGAAAGCTTTAGGGTCTTTTACACATAAGATCATGTCGTCAGCAAACAGAGACACTTTTACTTCCTCTTTTTCAATTTGGTTGTCTTTTCTTTTTTTCATTGTCAGAATTTTCTGGCTAAGACTTCCAGTACCATGGTTAAATAGGAGTGGTGAGAGTAGACATCCTTGGCTGGCTGAAGTTCTGAGGAATGCTTTCAATGTTTCACCATTCAGTATCATGTTGGCTGCAGGTTTGTCTTACAGTATGTTCCTTCAATGCCTAGTTACTTGAGAGTTTTTATTATGAAGGGCTACTAGATTTTATGGAATACTTTTCCTGCATCCATTGAGATGATATGATTTTCGATTTTAATTTTGTTTATGTGGTGAATCACATTTATTGACTTGCAGATGTTGAACAATTCCTATATTCTTGGGATGAAACCTACTTGATCATGATTCTTGATCAAAAAAAGAATTATCTTTTTTCTGTGCTCTTGGATTCAGTTTGCTGGTATTTTCTTGAGGATGTTTGTGTCTATATTCCTCAAGGATATTAACCTGTAGTTTTCTTTTTTTGTTGTATCCTTGCCAAATTTTGGTAACAGGGTGATACTAGTTTTGTAGAGTGAGTTAGAAAGGAATCCCTACTCCCTGATTTCCTGGAATACTTTCAGTAAGACTGCTACCAGCTCTTCTTTATATGGCTGATAGAATTCTGCTGAGAATCCATCCGATCCTCAACAATTTTTGGTTGGTAGGTTTTTCATTATTGATTTGATTTTATGAATCATTATTGGTTGCACAAGATTTCAATTTCTTCCTGATTCAATCTTGGGAGTTACATTTTCAGTTATTTATCAATTTCCTCTAGGTTTTCTAGTTTGTATACATAGAGGTGTTCGTAGTAGTCTCTGAGAGTCTTTTATATTTTGGCAATATCAGTTGCCATGAGACATTTGTCATTTCTGGTTGTACTTATTTGATTCTTTCTCTTTTTGTCTTGGTTTATCTAACTAGCATTCTATTTATTTTGTTTAACCTTTCAAAGAATCAACTTTTTTGTTTCATTGAGCCTTCATTGAGTGTTTTATAAATTTTAAAATCAATTTAATTTAGTTCCACTCTGATCTTTTTTATTTATTTTCTTCTGCTAGCTTAGTATTTTGTTTGCTCTTTTTTTCTAGTTCCTTGAGGTAAGGCATTCGTTTGTTAATTTAAGATATTTGTATCTTTTTGATCAGGCATTTGGCACTATGAACTGTCATCTTAACACTGCTTTTGCTGTATACAAGAGGATTTTATATGTTGTATCTCTATGTTCATTTGAAATAATTTTTTTGATTTCTACCTTAATTTCTTTGATTCCCTCAAAGTCATTCAGGAGCAAGTTGTTTAGTTTCCATGTACTTGTGTGATTTCAATTTAATGTTGTTGAAGTGAACCCTATGCCATTATATAACATGCTTCTGTGTGTGTGTGTGTGTGTGTGTGTGTGTTGTTCTGTTTATTGTTGTGGGTTTAAAGTCTGTTTTATCTATTACAAGAAATGCCAACCTCTGATCTTTTTTGTTTTGCTTTTGTGTGATGTATCTTTCTCCACCCCTTTACTTCGAACCTCTGGTGTCAGTACATGTTAGGTGCATCTTCTGAAGGCAGCAGATGGTTCGGTCTCATTTTTTAAATTTAATTTGCCAATCTGTAACTTTTAAGTGGAGAATTTACATCAGTTATGCTCGATATTAATATTTATATGTTATATGTAAGGCTTTGTGTCATCATGTTTTTAGCTAGTTACTTTGTAGTGCTTATTTAATTGCTTTGTAGGATTGGTAAATTTGTACTTACATGTTCCTTTATGGTAGCAAGTATTATCCTTTTGTTTTCACGTTTAGAACTCCTTTGAGCATTTCTTGTAGGTTCAGTCTAGTGGTGACAAGCTTTTCTAGCATCTATCCTCTAGCTTGTCTGGGAAAGGCTGTTTCTCCTTCATTTATAAAGTTCAGTTTAGCAGCATATGAACTAGTTTATAAGGTTTTTGCTGAGAAGAACCTGTATGCTGTTAGTCTGATGGAATTTCCTTTATAGATTTGACCTTCCATAGCTGTCTTTAAGATCTTTTCTTTAGCATTGACCTTGGATAGCTTGATGACTATGAATATGCTTTGGTGATATTCATCTTGTGTAGTATCTAGCAGGTATTCTCTCAATTTCCTATATCCAGATTTTTACCTTTGTAACCACGTTAAAAAAAAATCCTAAATTATTCTCTCAAATATGTTTTCCAAGTTGTTTTTTTTTTTTCTTCTCTCTCAGGAATGCCAATAAGTCATAGATTTGGTTGCTTTACAAATCCCATATTCCTCAAAGGCTTTGTTCTTTCAAAAAACTTTTTCTTTTGTCTGACTGTGTTAATTTGAAAGACTAGTTTTCAAGCTCTGAATTATTTTCTTCCGATTGGTCTAGTCTATTTTTGAAACTTTCTATTGTGTTTTGCAATTCTTTTAGTGAATTTTTAAATTCCACAGTTCTGTTATATATGCATATATATATATACACACACACATACATATTTATAGCCATTTATATATATATGAAGCTATATACATATATCTCTATATATCTCTATATCTATATCTATATATATATATATATCTCCAAATTGCTGTAATAATATGTAGCCATCTCATCTCTCATATCTTGAATAAATTTTCTGGTTTTGATGTATTGGTTTTCAACTTTCTCTTGTATCTCATTGAGTTTCTTTGCAACCCATATCTTGAATTCTTTATCTGTTATTTCAGAATTTTCATTCCTGTTAGGATCTATTGCTAGAGAGCTATTGTGATCCTTTGAAGGTGTCAAAACACTCTTTTTGTACTGCTGGAGATCTTGTACTGATGCCTTCTCATGTGAAAGAATTGTTGCTCCTTGTTTTTGAATTTGCTATCACTTGCATGAGACTTTTAAATGTTTCATTCTTTTTTTCCTTGAGGGTATGACTGTGGTGTATGTTGCATATGATCGTTTGGCTTCATTTCTGGTTGCTTTCAGAGGGCCAAGGCTCTGTATGAGTTCCTTCGTTGTGGATAGAATTTCTGTGGTGGTTTACTCAAATGTTGCTTATTGTTCAAGTGCTTTTAGAAAGCATCCATGTTAAATAAGTATAACTGGGGATGTTAGTAGCACTTTTATAACATAATCACCTATATGTAGAATGAGAAAGTTTCTGGATTTCTAGCACCTAACATTAAATTTCATCCTTTCTGAAAGTAGGCCATCTAGGAAACGGTTACTTTTGAATTCCCTGGCCTTTTATATTTTTGAATGCAAAGGAAATCTGTTAGTTGTTTGACTCTTTTTCAGTTTGCTGGAGACTTAAATTGAGCACCCAGTGCCATTTACTGATTCTCACTACTTGGAAAGAAAATTTCCAGAGAATAAAGACAGAGTAATTTCCATGAATTCTCTGGTAGTTTCTTTACAGAAAAATCATAGAAAATGGATGCAATTATTATTATATCCCCATTACTAAGTAATAATTATTGACACATGTTACTTTACGTTATCCAGCAATTTCTTTTCCAGTGAGAGAATTGAAGAACTGAAAACTATCGCTTTGCCACATTACTCAGAATCACAAAACTGGCTTTAAAATGGTGTTAAAACTACACTCCAAGTTTCCTGACTCCTAAGCTTGTGTTTAGACCATTTCTTTACTAGGGTGCCTAATAGATGGACAATTGAAAAGGATCATTAATTTTTTTTTTTTTCCAGGACAATAGGGTGTCATTTAAATACCCAGAAAGAAACAACTTGCCCACTGTTATACTGATTCCCTGAAAGACTTCAAAAGATGAAGAGTTTACAGCCAGAGTATTCAATAGGCCTTGGGTCAGTGTAGAATCAGAGTTACCTTTATGTTTTAAAATAAATTTGACTTTAATTAAATTTATATATTTGTTTCTTTGTTGTCTGCTTAGAAGACCAGGCAAATCATTGTAAGTTTGTGTTCTCCACTCACTTAACCACTTATCTGTAACAATTACCTAGCCGGGAATGCTAGCCCTTCACGCGATTGGTCTTCCTTGGTTGAGTCGCCGCCCTCGCTGCCACACCGTGGACGCCCCGAGGCAGGTGGTCAACTTCGGGTCTGGTCCCACCAAGCTGCCTCACTCAGTATTGTTAGAGATAAAAAAGGAATTATTGGACTACAAAGGAGTTGGCATTAGTGTTCTTGAAATGAATCACAGGTCATCAGATTTTGCCAAGATTATTAACAATACAGAGAATCTTGTGCGGGAATTGCTAGCCGTTCCAGACGACTGTAAGGTGATTTTTGTGCAAGGAGGTGGGTCCGGCCAGTTCGGTGCTGTCCCCTTAAAACTGATTGGCTTGAAAGCAGGAAGGTGTGCTGACTATGTGGTGACAGGAGCTTGGTCACCTAAGGGCTGCAGAAGAAGCCAAGAAGTTTGAGACTATAAATATCGTTCACCCTAAACTTGGGAGTTACACAAAAATTCCAGATCCATGCACCTGGAACCTCAATCCGGATGCTGCTTACGTGTATTACTGAGCAAATGAGACGGTGCATGGTGCGGAGTTTAACTTTATACCATATGTCAAGGGAGCAGTACTGGTTTGTGACATGTCCTCAAACTTCCTGTCCTAGCCAGTGGATGTTTCCAAGATTGGTGTGATTTTTGCAGGTGCTCAGAAGAATGTTGGTTCAGCTGGGGTCACCGTGGTGAATGTCTGTGATGACCTGCTGGGGTTTGCCCTCTGAGAGTGTCCCCCAGTCTTGGAATACGAGGTGCAGGCTGGAAACAGCTCCTTGTACAACACTCCTCCGTGTTTCAGCATCTACGTCATGGTCTTGGTGCTAGAGAGGATTAAAAACAATGGAGGTGCTGCAGCCATGGAGAAGCTTAGCTCCATCAAATCTCAAATGATTTATGAGATTACTGATAATTCTCAAGGATTCTACGTATGTCCAGTGGAGCCCCAAAGTAGAAGCAAGATGAATATTCCATCCCTCACTGGCAATACCAAAGGAGATGATGCTTTAGAAAAAACATTTCTTGATAAAGCTCTTGAACTCAATATGTTGTCCTTGAAAGGGCATAGGTCTGTGGGACGCATCCGGGCCTCTCTGTATAATGCTGTCACGATTGAAGATGCTCAGAAGCTGGCCTCCTTCATGAAAAATTTTTTGGAGATGCATCAGCTATGAACACATCCTAACCAGGATATACTCTGTTCTTGAACATACAAAGTTTAAAGCAACCTGGGGATGGCTACAAAAAGTTAACAAAGTATTTTTCTCAAATGAATATGTTTATTGTAGATTCTTCTTTTTTGAAAGAACAACAGCAAAAGATCTACAGCTCTGTAAAGCTGGTGGGACCTAACGTTCACCTTAATTCTGACTTGAACTGGAAACATTTTTAAAAATCTTCTCGTTGCTTTTCTAACAAATTCTCGCTTATTTTGCCTTTGTTACTACTTTTTCTAGTTAGATTCCAAATTTGCTTGTAGACTTAATAATGCAAGTTGCAATTAATTATTTCTGGAGTCATGGAAACACACAGCATGGAGGGTAGGTGGGGCCCTCTAGGTGCTGAATCTAAACATCTGTGGGGTCTCCTGGGTTCAGCGGCTGTGGATTCAAGGTCACCATTGACCATTGGAGGAGTAGTTTAAGAATACGGGGCAAAGGGCAAACTGTATATCAATCATTATACTGTTATTACAAGAGAAGTGACATACTTTATATATGTTTATATTAGCAAGGTCTGTTTTTAATACCATATACTTTATATTTCTATATATTTATATTTCTAATAATACAGTTATCACTGATACATGTAGAACTTTTAGAATTTATTAAATCCTTGACCTTCTGCATTATAGCATTCCTTTAGCAACAGTTGCACCCTGTCCCCAGTCTTCCTCTTTCTCTTTTTAAGCTCCTTTATGACAAAGATGTAGAAGTTCTTGATTAATTTTTACCATTCTTTCCGTAGGTAGAAGAGAAAGTTGATTGGTTGGTTGTTTTTCAATTATGCCATTAAACTAAACATTTCTGTTAAATTACCTTATCCTTTGTTCTCTTTACTGTTTTCTTTGTAATGTTTGATGATGAGAGTGATACTTTGCTGAAAAGTCTTTCCCCTATTGTTTATCTATTGTCAGTATTTTATGGTGAATATGTGGAGAACATAAAGGTCCTAAAACATCTAAAAAAAATTACCTAGGATGGAATAAGATGGATATGACAGCAATGAAAAATAAAGCTGCAGTTACAGTTTTGAGTTTTTCTACTTTAAATTGCATTATGTACCTACTAATGAAGACTAAGAAGTTTATTTCAATATTAAAACTGTCCCCATAAATAATAAAATAGGAACGCCTGATAGTATAGCTAATAGTATGTAAGGATATTTTTATATGTTTACTTTTAAAAATCAAAATGTATATCTTAACTCAGTTTTGGTATCAAATGGCTCATTGCTGTCATTTAGATTCTTCAAGGTAAATTTTACTTGGTGCTGATAGAAATTTTATTCATGATTTGCTGATAGTAGGAAAAAAAGCTGATTTTTTTTTTCTTGCATGTAACAAAAGCAAAAAAATACAGATATAGACCAATGGAACAGAACAGAGTCCTCAGAAATAATACCACACATCTACAGCCATCTGATCTTTGACAAACCTGACAAAAACAGGAAATGGGGAAAGGATTCCCTATTTAATAAATGGTGCTGGAAAATTGGCTACCATAAGTAGAAAGCTGAAACTGGATCTTTCCTTACTCCTTATACGAAAATTAATTCAAGATGGATTAAGACTTAAATGTTAGACCAATACCATAAAAATCTAGAGGAAAACCTAGGTAGTACCATTCAGGACATAGCATGGGCAAAGACTCATGTCTAAAACACCAAAAGCAACGGCAGCCAAAGCCAAAATTGACAATGGATCTCATTAAACTAAAGAGCTTCTGCACAGCAAAAGAAACTACCATCAGATGAACAGGCAACCTACAGAATGGAGAAAATTTTGCAATCTACTCATCTGACAAAGGCTAATATCCAAACCTACAAAGAACTCAAACAAATTTACAAGAAAAAACAAACAACCCCATCAAAAAGTGGGCAAAGGATATGAACACATTCTCAAAGAAGACATTCATACAGCCAACAGACACATGAAAAAATGCTCATCATCACTGGCCATCAGAGAAATGCAAATCAAAACCACAATGAGATACCATCTCACACCAGTTAGAATGGCGATCATTAAAAAGTCAGGAAACAACAGGTGCTGGAGAGGATGTGGAGAAATAGGAACACTTTTACACTGTTGGTGGGATTGTAAACTAGTTCAACCATTATGGAAAACAGTATGGCGATTCCTCAAGGATCTAGAACTAGATGTACCATATGACCCAGCCATCCCATTACAGGGTATATACCCAAAGGATTATAAATTATGCTGCTATAAAGACACATGCACACGTATGTTTATTGCAGCACTATTCACAATAGCAAAGACTTGGAATCAACCCAAATGTCCATCAGTGACAGATTGGATTAAGAAAATGTGTCACATATACACCATGGAATACTATGCAGCCATCAAAAAGGATGAGTTTGTGTCCTTTGTAGGGACATGGATGCAGCTGGAAACCATCATTCTTAGCAAACTATCACAAGGACAGAAAACCAAACACCGCATGTTCTACTCATAGTGGGAACTGACAATGAGATCACTTGGACTCAGAAGGGAACATCACAACCGGGCCTATCATGGGAGGGGGAGGGGGAGGATTGCATTGGAGTTATACCTGATGTAAATGATGAGTTGATGGGTGCAGCACACCAACATGGCACAAGTATACATATGTAACAAACCTGCACGTTATGCACATGTACCCTACAACTTAAAGTATAATAATAATAAATAAATTTTAAAAAGAAAAAAAAAAGAATACAGTCTATAATTATCACTTGCTAGCTCCAAAATACAAATTTTTCTAGAGTTTTATTTGCAAATTATATTTCTCTGGATTCAAGAAATATGCAAGAGAATAGAAAAGAAGAAAGAGGGAGAGAAAAAAGAGGGAGGGAGAGAGAGTGAGAGAAAAAGAAAGAGGGAGTGAGGAGGAGGGGGAGACAATAGGGTGGAGGTAGAGGAGATGGTAACCAGGGAAAGCACAATGTCTCCTAATGCTACATTCTTCTCTGGTTAAAAGATAAGAAAGAATAAAGAAAGAATTATTATGTAGTCTTAAATAATTATTTCCAATGTGTTTTGCATATAACACATAACATGTAACTACTGTTAATTGAAGGTTCCTATCCCTTCCTCTTCCCCTCCCTCTCTCATATCACTTTCTCTTGATTTCTCTTTCTGTTCTTTGAATATTTCCATTTCCTTTCTTTCTAATCAAATGCAGTCTATTCACCTGAATTACAATATCATGCTGACTTAAGTCTTTTTGCTTCTTTATCTTTCTTTATCATTTTCTATCTTTTCACTTTATCTACAGTGAAAAAAAATCACTGTACCATAGAAAATCCAAATTAAAGTAAGAAATTCATGAGGCATAAGTGATTCTGATTCTTTTCACCAATATGTAGTGGGCTCTTTTTAAGCTATGGAGGATCTTTTGAAGGACAGTGGAATATTTCTCTTGCAGACAGATCGATAGTAGAACTGAAATAGTAATGAGAACAGTTTACATCAGAACATGTACAATTAAATTTGGTTAAAAATGTGTAGGTTACATGGGAAATATTTCCTTCTTGTTAAAAGGTATATAGTATTTTAAGAACATGAAGTTTCTTATTACAGCATTTCATGTTTGAGAGAAGATTAAAGAATATTGATAAATCCAACTTTGAGAATCTAACTTTCATTTTCTTTTGAAATTCTTCAGTATTATAACACTCTTATGTTTATTATTTCCCTATGAAACATTTCTGAAACATCTGCTGAGTTTTAAATATTAAGAGATATTAATATTACAAGAAATGTATGGTATATTCTTGAGGTAACATTAAGAGCTGCTTCTTATTACTAAATGTTTATAACTGTTATTATTTGTAGATATTCATTCAAATATACAAAAAGTATGTCCCTATGAATAAAATGAATACTTTCTATGTATTTGAAAATTACATTTTAAATTATTCTTATGTAGCACATTTACCAAATGTATTTCACTTATTATATGCAGAGGATACTTGAAAGTCATTTGGTGTTGTTTTTATTCAAACATGATAAGTACAGAAAATAAATGCCATTCAAACTGTTTGATCTTCCATTTTAACTTCGAGAAGAAATTGAAGTTCCTTAAAAATTTTTTTCTTGACATATTGCAGCTAAAGTTCTTCAACTTATGCCTTTAGTTTGCAAACACTGAGGGAAATTGCCCAGAAATATTCAGCTAGCTGAATAAATTAAGACCTAATGTGCTTGAAGAAAGATGTTTTGAGAGTATCCTTTTGGGGTGATGTTCTCACCAATTTACATGCAAGAGTGAATTTGTATCATTTAAACTAATTTTCAAAATGTTTGACAAAGACCAGCATTATCTTCTGCTCAGTAACCTCCTCTAAAAGTAGTCACATTGTTCATGGAAATCAAACTGCTGAGTTTTCTTTTGCTACTTTTAAGGGCTTTTGATCCTTATATGGATATAAGAACCTGTTTTGCATATACCGTTAGACAAAAATCATGAATATTAAGCCATTATTTTTACATTAGCAAGTTTTCCCAAGGTGGATTTTTAACATTTTAAAGACATTTTGTTTTGTGTGTTACTCTCTTTTTGTCTAATCACCTCTAAAATTATGAACACTACAAGAATAATACATACTGAATAACAAAACAACTTGAAATATTTATAACTAAGAAAGCAACTGTTAAATGTTCATAAACAAAGTTGTTTGGAGACTCGTTTATTAATTTTTAATTTATCTTCAGTCAATTTCTCATTACTTCCAAATTCCTGTAGGGGATTCTGTTAATTAGTCATATGTAAAATATTCATTAAAACCAGCTTTCTATTTTCTTCTTTTATTGCAAATTTACATTTCTAATCTTATAACCAAAATAAATGCCATTAGGTAGAGGAACCACATTAATTTTGATCAGCCACCTAAAATAGAAGCCCATACAGCAAAAAATATGGTAATATAAAATAGACTAATATTGAGGTACTATATTGGTTGATCACCCTTTTGCAATAGCAGATGGATATCTAGTTCATGTTTGAAAAAATATCAACACTACATAAAATCGAGTATATTTGATTTCTAGTAAAGTAATCTAAGATGAAGTAATAATGATTTTGTATCTGTATACTTTTGCACATTAAACAGAAACAACATATAGTTTAGTTAGGGATTCAAATTTAATCAACAGCGACAATGTTGACATTAAATTTAAATCATTGGGTAACAAAAGTTTTACTGAGTTTCTTCAGTTGTTATTTGTTTTAAAATATTTTACTTGTCTTTCCTTACTATGCCTTATGTACTTTTGATTCTGTGCTGCAGGTAGCAAAGTAGTATAGGAAACAGAACATCAATGTGAGCTTAGTATTACTAATACAACTGTTGACTTTTCTCCTAACATAGCATATCTTAGTAAAACAGTCATACAAACATCTCTAAAAGAAATATATGTCAGCAATGTGAGAAAAGTTTGCAATGCCAGGCATAGTATTTTCAGAGTGAAATTCTTGGTTTCTTTGAAAACTCTGAAGACTTCTAAGGATTTGGATACATCTTAGAAATATAAGAGTTTGGGTACACCTTAGAATTCTAAGAGTTTGGATAGACCTTAGAATTATCCTAACATAACTCATCTCTTCTTAAAGTCTATGTCCAAATCTTAAGTCTTCAATCATTAATCAAAATATGTAAAATATAACTACCGGATTAGAAAGTTTACTAAAATGAAATTATATTATTTACTGGAAAAAGTGGGAAAAAACATATTTTATAGGAAGGAAAATGTAATTACACTCAAACAAATAGAGCATATTTTGTTTGCTCTTATGCAGAGTGGAAAATTTATTGCCAAATCAAAGTCCTCATGAGTGACCACACATTTACAGCATAGAAATATTTAGTAACATTAAGCGCAAGTCTCAAGGTTCTAGCTCTGTCTTCTGAGATTAAGTCAAAAAGTAGGCAAAGATTTAGGTAGCACATACTGCTTCAGTAACAAAACCAACTGAACTGATTGTTTAGAGTTATACATATCAACATTAAAAATATATTTGTTTAATAAACAGAAAACCTAACAGAAGACTGAATTTGAGGAAGACAAAACGGCAATATTGAACCAGATCTCTAAGTAATAGATGGAAATACATTCCAAGAAATAGTTA